CTAGGGTTTTTCTAGGGCACAAAGCATCAAGCATAGGGCTCCGAAGCAGAGAGCATTACCTTAAAGCATTTATGCTTTGACTTTTTCGTTTACATAAGTTTGCTTTTCTTATTGTATCTCATAGTCAATGGATGTGCCTTATGTATTTTATCATGTCGTCTCAATGAAGGTTTGATTGCTCCAAGTGTGAGGATGAAACCACCATCGAACCACAAGTCAGCATGTACAGAGGGCAACGGTTCCGACACTAGAAGAACATGGCATGACTGGGAATCGCCCTCATACATGGACTCCGTAAAATGACATGAATTACGCCGCTATTTTTCTTGCTACACGTTCGAACGATGACGGGGACTTCTTGAACTACCTCACACGAATGAATATGACCCACAGTGCTAGGCACAACATCCACGGCATTCTTTCGCATGTTAGTCGTCGTGTTGTCACATATGCTGCATAAAGTCGTGCATTTTGCTCTTTGCTGAACCACCAAATTAGAGGTTTAAAGGTGCATCAGCCCCCGTAATCTCGTGGTGCTCGTCTTCACCTTCTTGCCGAAAGAGAGGACCAGGCACGTGGCAAACAACGACAGATTGTTTTAGATTCCCTCTGTGCTTTGTTGCACCTCTCACACTGGAAACGTGTGATCCAATGAAACTCAAACTATAACGTCGTCGTCAAGACACTCGGTCTTCGCCAGCACCCCGGATCTATCTGACATTACCGTACAAAGCAGTTCGCCAGCTATGAGTGTTCACGTGAAATTCACTGCCTTGAGGAGTTTCTTTTTCTTTCCGTTTCTTCTTCCACTTCTGATTTTTTTTCTTCCTTCTCATTTTCTCTTGCCGAATCCGGCCGTACTATTTGATTCCCGTCCAATTATTTGATGTCCGAGTGCGGACGTTATGATGAGATTGGAAGAGGTTTTGGAGCATTGACGGTTCAGTTGGGAATCAGCGTGATTCGGATGAATCGTACGAATCATCGTGCGATCAAGGGGGATCGATGGAAGACGGCGACGTAAATGTTTTTGGAGGCATTGAACAAAATGCCGTGACCTCACTTAAGCCGCGACCCGAAGACACGCTTGCAACGGGACTGTACCCTTCGTCCGATTCCTATTGCCTAATAAACATTTTACAGGTTCCATGTTCATTACATGCGGGGAATCTAAGTACATTCACCATTTTCATATTTGATTCACGACTTTTCAAAACATAAAATCGTTGATTGGGATAGGTTGATCTCGCGCCATCACTTTCTGTTGTGTGATGTGTATGATGTTATCATACCATACCAATACTATCTGATAACTCTTCGGCATTGTTCCCCTTCCCTCATGCAGTCATGTCGTGCAATTCCAGGGTGCCATCGGCCCTGGAACCCCTGACTTTCTTCCACACGTACAGTATACCTACAGGACGCGCGGGACCTCGTCTCATGATGGCTAGGATCCTCTCCTTGTATATATGTATCCTTGTATATACTGCCCGGTCCGTGATCGCAGAGGACCCATGTACTTGTACTGCACCCCAAGGATGCTTCATTTTTCGAAGTCAGGTCAAAATGCCAGATTTGGCTAAAAACTTGTGCCCAAAGATAGTTTGATCTGCTGAACACGAGTCATGTTCGCAGTTGAAATCGAAATGACGAGACTATAAAACCGTCATTTACCATAGATTCCCACCTACACGTCATTTACATAGAATCCCACCACCCTGCATCGCGTTCTCCACGACTGGTCCGATCGGGCCCTTCAGGCGGAATTACGAACACGAGTCATGTTCAGATTTGAACGATTACGAGAACTATAAACCGTCATTCACCTGAGATTCCCCCTACAGTATTTACATAGGAATCCCACCCTTGCATCTGCGTTTTCACGACTGCGTTATCCGAGGGGCGTCCTTCATGGGATTACCCCTTACTCAGTTAGAAAGTAGATTCAATGAATGACCCCCACAAATCCTATCCGCAGCCTCATCGTGGCGTGGGGGTGAACGGTTTTGGACTGTTCCAAAAACGTACGAATGCGGAAGGTGCCACGTCAGAGCCTGGCGAGCTACGCGTGGTTAAACTTCTTATCGCCGAAAACAGTAACAGTTATGGGCCTCATCTCCCTGATCTGGAGGAACCACCGAAGGCGACTCGGCTGGACCTCGGGCGAGGCGCTGAAACAAGGCCAATGGAGATTAAGTCGCCAGGACTAGATGACGATCTGTGCTTCAACGCACGGACGCTTGCATCGGAAGCTCACATCGAAGATCTGATGTTGCAAGCCAGGAAGATCAAGTACGACGTCATCGGACTGACCGAGACGAGGAGGCATCGCCCGCTACACGCCGTGTACGAGACTGGAGAAGAACTGTTCCTCGGAACATGCGACGCAGCAGAGGCGTTGGCCCTTGGTCACACGCACTTGGCCATGAACATCGATTCGTACGAAAGTCTGACGACCCGAATCGGACGTTTGCGATTGAGAAGATGTGGTTCAACTCCAGCTTTGACAATCTTCGTCGCCTACGCACCAACATCAAGCTACGACGAGGATGAGCTCGAAGCGTTCTATATGGAATTGGAGAAGTTCTACAAGGAAGATCATACCTTCTTCAAGGTCATCGTCGGTGATTTCAACGCTAAGATCGGACCAAGAAGAACGGCTGAAGAACTTCACATCGGAACTCACGGAACGGAGTGGAATAGCAGAGTGAAAGGCTTGATCTGAGTTTTATCATGTCGACCCACACCATCCATGGTAACTCGCAGTTCCAGAAGCCCTACTCTCTACGCTGGACATGGGAGTCTCCTGGTGGACAATTCCATAACGAGATCGACCACATCATCTGCAATCGAAGGTTTTGCCTGACCGATGCCGCTGTTGTCCCTAAAATCTACACGGATCCGACCATCGTCTCCTTCGCGCAAGATTCCGCTTTTCGATGCGAGGAGAGAGAGCCGCAAAGTTCAAGAAGCGAAGCCCCAAGACCACCATCAACTGGGATCACTTCACTTCTCTCGCTGGGCTCTGGGAGGATTCTGTCATTGACAACATCGACGAGGAATACGAAAGGCTTGTTGCACATCTTCACGACTGCGCCAAGAAGTCAGAGGGTTCCAAGATTACCAAGAAGCGTC